TATATATATATATAGGCAAGATAAAAATAATAAAAAAATAGTAATATTTAGTTTTATAGTTAGCTGTCTCGAAACTTTTATAAATTTGAGAGAGTGTTACATCCGCGATGCTCTTGCCCCTCGACTCGGCTCTAATCGTTCCGAATCTATTCACAACCAGAACAATACCATCAATATACACTAATGGAATGAATTCCACAAGAAAAACTAGCAATTTAGGCATAAATCCCAAAATCCTCTTAAACCCGGCCCTCGGGCCCACGTCTCGGAATTCGACAAAAGTCACAAAACTAGAAACCCCTTTCACTCACGAGTCCATACATACAAGATTTATCAAAATCCAACTCCATTTGACCTCTCAAATCCTCAATCAAACTCTCCAAAATCTCAAGCCCTAACCCCTCATTTTCAACCTTAATCACCACTAATTACATAATTAAACAACAGGAAATTACCATAAATACGAGTATTAGGGCTCAAATTACTTACCTCAATGAAAACCCCCTTGAATCCCTCTTCAAATTGCTCCCAAAAGCTCCAAAACCGGATAAAAATGGTGAAGAATGACCCAAAATTCGTGAAGGGTTCAATATATACCTTCTGCCCAGGCTTTCCGCACCTGTGGTCAAAATTGTGCACCTGCGGTGCCACTTCTGCGCCCAAAAGTCCGCATCTGCGGAAGTCACTTAAACTTCTAAAACAGCACCTGCGCCCTAGGTCTTGCACCTGCGGGCCGGCAGATGCGACAAAATACCCACATCTGCGACTCCTCTCCTGGCCCTCCATTTCTGCATCTGCGGCTTCCTCACCGCACCTGCGACCTTGCACCTGTGGTCCCCACTCCGCAGGTGCGGTTATCACAGAACACAGCAGCTTCAGCTGCATTTCCAAGTTCAAACTCTCCGTTAACCATCTGAATTCATCCCGAGTCCCTCGGGACCTCAACCAACAATACCAATAAGTCACATAACATCATTCAAACTTGGTTGAACCTTCGAATCGCTCAAAACAACATCAAAACACCAAATCACCCTCAGATTCAAGCCTAAGAACTTCTAAACTTCCCAATTCCGTAAGCGACGCCAAAACCTACTAAATCACCTCCGAATGACCTGAAATTTTGCACACACGTCAGAAATGACACTATGAACCTACTCCAACTTCCGGAATCCCATTCCGACCCCGATATCAAATTTTCCACTAGCGACCAAAATCGCCCAAATTTTCAATTTCGCCAATTCAAGTCAAATTCTACCACGGACCTCTAAATTACATTTCGGATGCGCTCCCAAGTCCAAAATCACCTAACGGAGCTAACCGAACCATAAAAATCCAAATCTGAGATCGTTTACTCATAAGTCAACATCCAGTTGACTTTTCCAACTTAAGCTTCTAAATAGGAGACTAAGTGTCTCATTCCACATCGAAACCACTCCGGAGCCGAACCAACCAACACGATACGATAAAATAAAGCTGAGGAACACATAAGGAAGCAGAAATGGAAGAAACGGGGCTATAATTCACGAAACGACCGGCCGGGTCGTTACAAAAAGTTACCAAAACGTACGGCCAAGGGGCATATATTTTGTAAAACATAGAACAAAGCTGGTTTATGTTGATGTTTGTAGGACGACCGTCACAATGCTATTTTGCTGGACTCTTCAATGGCGACGGTCACAGATATTACTTCTTATTAGCGGTTTCTCCAATTATCTGACAACTTCCCTACTTATAAATCAAATGAATTGTCATCTTATTGCTTCTCACCATCAACCATTCTTTTTATTTGCTCCCTCTCTGCTAAGTTGATCAGGTGATTAATTTCTTCATCCCTCTCAAAGTTTAATTTTCAAAAATAAAGTTCAGTTCTTTCTTAGAGAAGGAAGTAATTATGGGAGAGATCGACACAAAATCAATTGAATCAGTCCAAGCTGCGCTTTCTTTGTTTGGAGAGAAATGCGACAAGAAGAAATATAGGTCCACTTCATGTATTAATGTAAGCCAACTACTGGCCAAATTATGCACTGCTTCACAAAAAAATGTACTCTCTTTATCTTTTGCACACACTATGTATCCAGTAAAATATTTGGATTGCTTCAGTCGATTATTTTTGGGTTCAAAGTTTATCCTTTGCCTCCCTCAAGATAAAAACTTGGCCCTTCATATTTTTCTCATTAAGACTAGAATTAAAGTATATTAAGTGCTAATGTTCTTTATCAGCTCGAATTGTTATCCGAAAATGAGATTGCCTACTTAATATTTGTGATGTCTATGCAACACTCCCCGGGGTGGTAAATACGAATTATTAGCTTGTTTGATAGGAAGGTGTGGAGGTCGAGGATTAGGGTAGTAGGTTGGGTGGTCTAGATTGTTCATACTGGTAGTATTACTACGTACTCTCGCATTTTGTTAGTATTAGGTTTCTATGACTACCTGTCGTTTCTTTCATTTTGGTCATCTTACTATCTTGTTGTTTTTATGCTGCTTTCACATGTCTTCTCGGTCAGGAGCGGATATAGTGTTGAACTGACGGGTTCAATTGAACCCATAACTTTTGACACGGAGTAAAAATTTATTACAATTGCAAAATATTAGATATGAACCCATAACTTTATAAATATAATGGGTTCAGTGCTAAAAATCTTGAAAATTGAACCCATAGGATTTAAATCCTGGATCGTCTCTGTTTTCGGTGTTGTCCCTTCTTGTCTTTCTTTTCATTACAGTGGTGCTTATGCTTTCCCGAGCCGGGGGTCTATTGGAAACAACCTCTCTATCTTCATAAGGTAGGGGTAAGGTCTGCGTACACACTACCCTCCCCAGACCCCACTATGTGGGATTATACTGGGTATGTTGTTGTTGTTGTTGTTGTTGTTTGTTTGTTTATTTTTCTCTAGCTCAATATCTTTATGCCTTTTGGGTCTCAATAGAGAGCGTATAATATGATTAGTAAGTATTCATATAACCGAGCCCTACTTGCTTATAATAGATAGTATGGACTGTTTAGGGAACCAAAATAGTAAGAAGAATAAAAGATTTCATGCAGATGTTAGTTATCTTGATGATGTGTAACATTCTAAGTTCATTGACTTAAAAACAAATTGATGTGTAGATCTTAACAGCCAATTAACCAATTTTGGGCATATCTAATGCTGAACCTTTCAGCAGGGATGTATTTGAAGCTAATTATTCATTCATTTTGTTCCTTTTAACTTACAGGAGATGGAGAAAGAAAAAGATATAGGAAGTGTGTTAAAAGACTTGGCAAACCTGAAAATTCAAGTTGAGGCGAAGGATTCTGCACACAAGCAAGCACTTGTTAAGCTAGACCATCACGAAAATACAGCTGATGAACTCCGTTCCCTGCTAATGAGCTCTGAACTCGAGAAGGAGATTTACATGATCGAATGTAAAGGATTGAAGATTCATGTAGTTGAGCTTGAGTCGCGGATTCAGGAGATGGCTGACCAAATGTTGGAGTCTGTAAGGACGCGAGATCAGCTATTACACACCATCGGTGAGTTGAAGGCAACACAAGGAGAACTACTTATAGCAGAAAAAGAGTTAGTGGCAGCAAAAGATGCTAAGCTTGAAGCCTTGACACAAGTAGAAGTGATGGAGTCTGCTTTGAGCACCGAAAAGTTTAAGACTGAAGAGCTTTTGAGGAATGTGTCAAAGCTCAATGAGACTGTTTTGCAGGCAGAAGAAAACACTACACTTTTGTATGAGAGAGAGGAAGAGTTGGAATTGAAGGCTGCAAATGCAAAAGAAGTAGAATTTCCGAGAAATCAATTGGAAATGATGCAGGATTTGGAGAATGAGCTATCGGAAAAGTCTGCACTTATTGATTCATTGAGAATAGAACTCCAACAAGTAAATGAGCTTCGCGCTTCTTCTGAGAAAGCCACTTCTGATGCTGTTAGTGAGGTGAAAAAATTAAAAGACGATATGGAATTACAAGAGAGAAAGAATTGGGATCAATCTGGCTATATAAGTTTATTAGAGTCAGAACTCAGGCAATTAAAGGGAGAACTCAACAAAGCCAACCAAGAGGCTGCTCGCGCCAATGCAGATGTTGAAACGATTAGCATCGAGTTGGAGCAGTTTAAAAAGGAAATGGTTGAGACAAGAGAAAAGGAATCCAAAGCACAAGTTGAGATAGCATTTCTACAATCTGAGCTTCATAAATGGAGGTCAAAGATTGCAGCAGCAGAAGTTGCTGATTCAGTAGCCAAGAGTGAGAAATCAGCTTTACATCTCGCACTTCAGCAGCTAGCCTTAGAAGCTGAAGAGGCCAAAAAAGAAAACAAGAGACTAAAAGAAGCTAGTAAAGATTCTGAAAAAACACAAAATGCAGAATCAGAAGAGGGAAAAGGAGAGGCGAAGGCCTATATAACAATACCAAGGGAGGAATATGAGCAGTTGCTCAAGAAGAAGGAGCCAGTTTATGAAGAACCAAAAGAAATTCAAGTACTAAAGAAAGAACTAAAAACAGCAACAGTGAAAATTAGCGAGTTGAGAACGAGAGCTGAACAAGCGATAAGCAGAGCTGAGGCAGCTGAAAAGGGTAAAGCTACACTTGAGGATCAGATAAAGAGGTGGAAAGAACACAAGGAAAGAAAAAAGGCTGCATTGGCAGCACTTAGAGAGGAGTCAATTTCCAGAGAAATTACTGAATACAAACCTGATACTACTCCTAAAACATTACAACCTCTTGGTAAGGTTCTCAAGATGAAGTTCTAGATACACCAACTGTATTGCAAAACTTTTCCATACCAAGGAAAGTTTTCTGTAATATAACTTTGTAAGTTTGAAAAGATGAAGTTCTAGATACACCAAATCTATTTCTGTGATTTTAGTGATCTTATTCATTTGGGGTATTATCAACATGACTATGATGAAAATATCTTCATGAAATTTCTGCATTTTCTCGTAATTTTTGAATGGATCTTCATTTAGCTCGCACCAGAAACTATTTAAATTCGGTAGCCAAAAAATTGTATAAAATTTGTATAATTTTGGTATATAACATACAGAATGTATATATATATACAACAAATATACTACATTTTTTCGGCTATACAATGTCATTTTCTCTATTAATTTCATTTCCCATTCTCTTGTTACTTGTTTTTGGTCCAACATTAGATATAGTATTCAACATACGATGCTCATTAGTTAACTTTTATATATGCATATACACATTAGCAGAAGATTTCTAATCTTCCTTAGTTCATTGAGTTTGTCCCATGAATAGTAGAGCTAGTAAGGGAACTAGTTTAGTGCTTAAAGTAAAGTAAGATTGTCTAAGATTCTTTGTGCTATCTGTTGGGAAAAAATGGATTATGGAGAATAGGATTTAGCGAAGCTTGAGGCGTGTCAAGGACATAGTAATATCTATTCTGCCATGAGGCCCAACTTCTTGAGCGCACGAGCGGATCTTTACTAGCCCACTAAAGGATAATTGTAGGGAGTTTTTCCTATATATACTATGATAGGAACTTATTAATTTATTTTCTTTAGGTTTTGTAATTTTCAAAAAGTATCTAGATTTTTTTTACAAATTGTATACATTTCCTCCCTTAAAAATCTCTCATCCCATTATTAATGCCTTTAATTAAGGGATTCAATTATATCCTTTCCTTTTTTTCACACTTCTCCTCATTTCATGCTTCCTAATTTTTTCAATACGCATATCTCTTCTTCTCTCTCTCTTCAATAGTTGCACGTCTTCAGCAAGAAGCTACTAACTTTGCTTCAGCTGTTGAATGATTTTGGTTAGAACCTTCAAATACTAGATTAATGTCATATTCTATGTTACTATTATCCTTATAATGTTAGGAAAGTGATATCTAATCTATCAAATCCAATAGCACAAAACTGCTTTCCATAATAGCAACCAGAAAGAAACTTTTTCATGCGATGTCAAAAAAAAAATCAGTTGCTACAAAGTTTCTTCAACAATTCCAAAATCGTTAAACTCTAGCAAAATTATTACTAATAGGATAATAGCTCATAACTTACAATTGCTCATCACCATATACAATTATCACACATTTGTGATACAATTTCTACAACAATTATAATACAAATACAATTATGATACAATCGTAATACAATTATGTTCTTCCTCCTCTTTTTCATCTTCTTTAAGTTTCAATCACAACTCTAAACTTAAATTCTGAAACAATATTGTATATAATTGTATTAGGTATTATTTTAGGTATTGATATATCATATACAAATTAAATACAACTTTGATACAATTGTGATACAATTATGAAACACATATGATACAATTATAATACAATCGTGATACAATTCAGAAACTTTTCTTCTTCGAGTTTCAATATGAAATTTTACCTAAAAACAACTCTAAACTTAACCAATCTCCCTCAAAATTAAGATATAAACTCCAAGTTATATTCTCGATTGTTTGCAAGAGCACGATTTTGGGGTGGGTCTCTTACGGTGAAGGAATTTGGTAATTGCAAACAGAGGTAATGATTTTTGGGTGGGTCTCTTACGGTGAAGGGATTTGGTAATTGCAAAGAGAGGTGGTGATTTTGGGGTGAGTTTCTTACGGTGAAAGGATTTTGAGTAAGTATTGATTTTGGGTATCTTAAATGTAGGATATTTTGTGTAACTGATACCTATTAATTAAGGTATGTCTCATTTCCTCTTTTTTTAAGGTTTTGTATAAAACTAGTAAATATAGGTATATAAAGTAATTAATAAGGAACCTAAATAAAAGTAGTAAATAGGTTTCTATTATAGTATAGCTAGGTAAAAATCCCTATAATGTACATGTACAATTAAAACTAAAATTGAAATGTTTGTATTTATTCTTACTTTTTCTCGGAAAATCTATGTATAAAATTAATTTATTTGTTTTTTTCTGCCAAATTACAAACTTGCAGCAACTTTTTTCCCCTGATTTCTACCATTTGAAACTTGGAGAAGAAACAAATATAAGATTTGACAAAGATCCTTCAGTTAAATTAATGGTTCTAAAATATGTCACTATTCTCATTTTATCATCTAAACAGTCGAAGTCTCCTCTAGAATTGTAGATGTTTCTACTGCTTCCACTTCTACACAATTTTACATTTAGAAAAGCAAATTCAAATATAAAAGCCTTACGTGTTTTCAGAAAATAAATGCCACCATTGAATTTGATTGTTTCAATTGGAATCTGTGCGAAGTGTAGGAATTTGTGAAGAAGGAATAATAGCAGTAGTTGGTGGTGTAAAAAAGTTTTTTTCGGACCTTAGCCTTTTATCTTTGGGCTATAAATTTATAAAGTTGTTACTGGGCTAACTAATTATAATATATGTGTATGAATTGTACTTATGTGAAATTCTCTCTTAAATCATTGGTCCAGGCCAAACCCCACCGGAGGTGAAAGTCCGAGTGGATAGATTTAATTCAATAAAAATTAAAACAAAATAAAAATAAATTGTTTAAGTAAAAATTTGAACTCATCAATGTCTCTTTCCACAAAGACAAATAACCAATTAAAAATTAAACGCATCATTTTATAAAAGAACCATTCTTGAGGAAGAGATAAATACTGAAACAAATAACTTAATGGCAAAATAAAATACGACTCACTAGACAATAAAGCATAAACAGAAAAATATCAAAATAATATTATGACTCCTACTACTAAATAAACTCACTTGCATCTTCATACTCGTACTCTTGAAACTTTTCTTTCTTTCTTTTTCTTAATAAGTATTCTTCTAAGTTTTTCTGCAAGTGTTTCTTCTCTCATATATTCCTCCATATATTGAAGAGCAGCAATTGGAGGTTTGCGCAATAAAACTTTAAGGCAATCACCATTGTTTACTTCGAGACAAGATATTTGAAAAGATTCACCAGTAATAGTACAAGGAAACTTGCCAACTACAAACCTCTGAAACTTTCCAGTGGAATGATCATAAGAATAAATAGGGGTGAAATTAGAATCATCATTTTCATTAATATTAGGATTAGCCAACAGTATCTCACCTGTTGGAAGGTTACCAATAATGCACCAGCTCTCTATATGACAGCTAACCTGAAGTTCTTCAGGTAAGATGATGGAATGATTGATCCAACAATTTGACCCGTTTAATTCCTAGAGATTCAATTCTGGTGTAGTTGTGGTGGCGGTGATGAGACATCCCACCGCCAAACCTCCCATTAACTTCACTATTCTGGTATCTCCAACTACAAGATTTTGATGATTTGCAGCAGCAGGTAGGGAGATAGTAAAAAATTGAAGCTTTCTAAGGTTAAACGCCAGTATTTTCCGTTTAGAGTCGTCGCATTCAACTAACCAATACAAAGAGTCATTTATCCAAACACTTGGTGTGCACGACAAATCCATACTTACTTCAAAATTATGAGTAGGCGGCAGCTTTATCCAGTTGTACTTTTTGTTTATAGTCTTAATTTTGGTTTTGGTTTTAGTCATGTCCACTCCTCCTAGGGTAAGAATCTCTAAGAGATTAACATTATCACTATCGAAGAGGCCGCCAATGCATAGCAACTTGTAGGAGCCAATAAAGGGATCGAATCCTAAACGAAATTGAGTTTCATATTTATTAGGGCGGAAAAACGAAGGGAGTGGGAGTTCCATTGTTTCAAAAGTGTAGGAATTGCAGAGAGTAAGGTTACCAGTTGGGGTATAGAAACAAAAGAGGCCATTAATAACTTCTGTGAATCCAATTTCAGCAGTACCGAACTGCTGCTCGATAAAAGGAGGAGGAGGAGGGATATTAGTAAGACTGAGCCTTGATTGGAAAAAGGAGCTAGAATTGGAGATGACGATCCCTACGTTGCGGCCGTTGTGCAGTTTCACGAATTCATGTTCAGAGATGATTGAGCACCAGGTTTTTGAGACAGACTTGTATCGGTACAGAGACTTCAATGGCAGCCATAACAGAACCTCCGTTACTATCTCTTCAGGTAACACCGTTTCGCCACCCAACGACGAGTCACGTGCCAATACCATTGCTAGCCGCCGTAACCGTCGCCGCCGTGCCGTCTCTACTTCTAGGTTTTTCTCCTAGTTGTAGTTGGGAATAAAATAGTTATCCAATAAAAACTTACCCAGCCATTAAATTAAGGTAAGTGCATATTATGGACTTTGCAAATCTTTAACAAATAATAAATGTAGTGCATAATTTATCGTAATATCCATAGTAATTGACATATAATTTTAATGACTATGAGAAAATAATTTGAAATGCGTAATCAATAATGTGGGTATAACTGAAAAAGAAATTATCTTCTCTTGATACGCTAAAAGTGACAAGTAAAAGTAAAACTTTATTTTTATATTACTGGATAAGTAAAAGTGAACGAAGGGAGTATTAATTAATAAGAGTAACATATTTTAGTGGTAAGAAAAGATATGTATCATTTATTCATTCTATTGGTATAAGNCCAACCCCACCCACGCACACACACAAAATTCAGGGTCATTTTCATGATTTTTATTCTGTTGTCACTACCAAACTTTTGTTGCGTCTATATTGAAAAACTTTGGCATCTTCTCAAATCGCCATAATGGAGAGAAGCAATGGTTAGCCTTTAAAATTTTTTATAAGAAAAGTGTCTTAATTATGTCATAAGATTCAATTTTCGTGCCAGTGACAATATACTCATATGCATTTAACACATTGAACTTTACTTTCTAAATAACCTCACTGTTTTATTGTAGCTTTCTTTTTATTCTAATTTGTTTAGAGTGACGAATATGAGCACAATTCCAAGAACTAAGGCTTTTTCTTTAGAAAGAGCATACTCATTCAATTGAGCGGTTCTAGTTGTTGCAGAAGCGGAATATATAGAGAGTGATTAAATAACAACTATTATA